CTTAAGAACAGTACTTAAATAAACATATATATATATATATATATATATATATATATAACTATAGTTTCTAGATGGCCTTTGATAATTAAAGGAACAGTGTTCAATTACTCTTGTTAATTTCTCTTAATTCATTATTATTTAATTGGTTGTTAATTATTCTTTCACTCCTCAGTGTAAACAGATGGGGGTAATTTTTATCTCTAATGAGCTTACAAATATCTCAGACAACTACATGTTTTGTATTTAAGGGAAATCTTAGATTTAAGGAATCTTTAATCTAGTTTTGTTACAAGCAGTTTTGATCAACTGAAAAGGCCAAACAGTGTCTGTGTTTTAACAACCATATAGACAGTATAGAAGAAGAAGATATACTTTATTATTATACTCTAGCATCAACAGTATTAACAAGAATAGATACATTCAGTTGATTTTAAGTGCCTATTATTAAATGGAAGTCCTGTTCGACAAAACTTTTTGTTGAGTGGGACAGAGGTGGATGCCTGTGGTAGAAAATACCAAATATGTCCATTCAAACAGCAGATTTCTTTTTGAAGTCCAAAGACTAAGTTTGTTTTCTTTTTTTTCTCTTTTTTTTCTCTTTTTGCACAGTTTCAGTTATGTTTTGACATAATCCAAACAGCAGCAAAGTCTTGGGGACTTTCCTTAAGTACGTCTTTGTTAACCCTAAAGGGTTAATGGAAATAATTTTCAAAGATTGTTTGGATTATATTATTTCAAAGGAGGATAGAGACTTTTTTTTTTCTCGAGTAGTTTATCTTCTGCACACTACTGATAAATAAAAAACTGTACAGGCTATTAACTCTTCTTCATCCTCTTAAATCCTCACTGTATTTCACTTTCTTGCAGACTCATCGTCATGCGCATGCATAACCTTCATGGAACAGAGAAAGAAAAAGAGGGGGAAGAAAGCAGCGATGAAGAAAGTGAAGATGAGGAGGAGGATGAAGATAAGAAGCCACAGATGGAACTGGCCATGATGCCTCACTATGGAGGGATAAACAGAGTCCGAGTATGTTGTGTGTCATTTTCTAGGCAGAAGTATTTGAACTGAACCATTAGGCTGAAACTTTGTGTCTGAGGTTCCAAATTTGTTGATTTTGCTTCTTAATCTTCAGGTGACTCAACGCGGAGCGCAGTCATTGGCTGCTGTCTGGTCAGAGAAGGGACAGGTAGAAATATTTGACCTCCAATCTCAGCTGGAAGCCGTGCACAGCTCTGCCGCTATGGCAACTTTCGTCAAGCAGCAGAAGGAAGCCACGGCTCTCTTCAGCTTCTCAGGTCACATGACTGAAGGCTTTGCGATTGATTGGTCACCTACAGTACCTGGTAGGTGAGGCCTTTACCTGTAAGGCAATTTACAGATGGAAAAAAGACAACGTGCATACATTCTGGCCTTGTTGACTTTAAAATTAACCTTGTGACTGCATCTACTTTGTAATGTGTGAGTAACGTGAGAACAGTGGACAACCAAATCACATTGTCCTGGTTGCTGGTTGTTTTAGCTTATAAATTAAAAGAGTTTATACATTAGATGAGATTAGATAAACATTATTGATCCCACACTGGGGAAATTCACTTTTTACAGTGGCTCCAGATGTGTAACACAGATACATGAAATCTGTGGGCAACCGATATGGGTTTTTCAGTGACCAATATTTAGAGAGCAGGGCGATCAATGGCCGATATATAATGACGATATCAAACCAAAGACAAGTCATGTCTAATTCCATTATTACATGCACATTACAATCTATTATACATAATTTTCTTAGCCAGAGAGAGTTTTAGAAGAGTACTTTATTAATTAATGAGACAGAAAAATACATTGAGCTACACTGTAGATTTCAAGCCATTAATGGTTTTAGGTTAGATTTGCTGTCATTTAGGATTGGTTGAAAAGTGTTATAGTACAGGGCTCGAAACTTTTTCACCACCGTCCCAAAACTAACAAAGGGCAGCGCAAACATTGTTCCACAGCAGCCAGACTGGCACGGCTGCCTGCAGACATTTTTTGTGTATCAGCCTCATGAGCGCAGACGTTGGCTGATGCAGATTATCTCAGAATGCCAAAACAAATCAGCCCGATTAATATGTCTATCTATACACGAAGTGCTGTCCATTAAATCTTCAAACCCTTGGGTCCTGATCCATCCAGATGCAAAAAAAAATCCTATGCTTGGCTCAGCTTTCTACCCAATTTAAGTGAAACTGCCCAACAAACCCAAAACTTAACCTCCTTTGCAGAGGTGAAAACTGGTCTGGAATTATGTAACAGATACACATTGTTGTAGTTATAAAGGGCTAAAATGTGCACAACCGCAAAGAATGAAAGTGGTAGATTTAATGAAATTAAGTGTTTTGTGTTTGTACTTTTATTAACAGGTCGTCTTGTCAGTGGAGACTGCAAAAAGAACATCCATGTGTGGGAGCCCCGAGAGGGAGGGACTTCATGGCAGATTGACCAACGACCTTTCAGCTCCCACAGCAAGTCTGTTGAAGATCTGCAGTGGTCACCCACCGAAGCCACGGTATGTGTGTGTAAGGAAAATGGTGACGTAGTGGGTCAGACTGAGGCGGTGAAGGTGGTGCTTTAGTGAGTGGTGGTTCAGTGTTGCAGGATATATTTTGTTTGTGTGGGTTTACTCCCAAACCAAAAATACATACATATAAAGTAGACATCCATATTGGGATTTGACATGCATGTTAGGTGCCTCCTGATCACAGAGCTGAAGTAGCTACTGATCTTAAATAGTTGGATAACTCAAATGCAGAGGATTAATTCTTTCCATGTTATATAATGTCAAACTGAGCTTATTGGTGCTGTACAGGTGTTTGTATGAAAGAACAGGGTGAGGCGAGAGACATGAATGATTGGAATGAATGAAACTATGTTATCTTTAAAAAAACACCTGTGAACATTATCGCAGCATTGCAATTAAACGCAGACTAAAATATGTAAGTTATACGTTGTCTCAGTGCTGCAGATAACAAGTCACCAAACTAGTTAGTGATATGTGATGCAAGTCCTACAGCCTGATGTTGGTTGTTACCATTTTACTTCTACACACTGTTTGCATTTGTTGGGCACTTCGGATTCTGTGCAACTTAACTGGTATTGACAGTAATTTTTCAATGCAGCGAGTATTACAAAAAGCATTAAAGGTCCAGTGTTTGACATTTAGAGCCTTTCATGTTTTTTGCTAGTTTTATGGGCACCATAGTTTCTCCTACACACTTCACAGCCTGTTTCCACTCCCAGGTCGTCAAATACAGGCACGAGTGGTTTTCAGTTAATTTGCAGTTTGCAATCTACAACTTCACTACTAGATGAAATGCTACACATTTGTCCTTAAAATACAAATTATAAATATGCAACTCTCACACTCTAAACAGCCTCTAAATAATAAAAGAGTTTCTTGTTTGGGAAGACCAATGATGTCTTAGATTTAATCTCAAATTTCAAATCTCACGATCCGTACTCTCTTGCTTGCCACAGGTTTTTGCATCTTGTTCGGTGGATCAGTCTATTCGTATCTGGGACATCCGTGCCCCACCCAATTCAATGCTTTCAGCCAGTGAAGCTCACTCATCAGACGTCAATGTGATCAGCTGGAACAGGACCGAACCATTCATCCTGTCAGGAGGGGACGACGGGCTTCTGAAAGTATGGGACCTGCGACAGTTTAAGGTAAAAAAAAAAAAAAAAGTAGAATTTGCAAAAAATTTGTAACGTTCTTAGTCAGCTATGAGTTATTACTTGTTATTGTATGACAGGGAGTGAAGATCTCACCGTTTGATCAGTGTGTGTCACAATAAAGTAACACACTATTGAACTACAAGCCAGTGTTGAGTACTTGTTATATTACACCATCAGATAATTGCTCACCACACCTAACAATAACATGGTGGTGTCTTCTTACCACCTCTCGCCTAATAAAGGAATTTGTTTTTGATTTGCTAATAAAATACACGCCTATGTAAGTCTTGTTGCAACTTGTGAGAAACAATCAGAAAGCACACAGATTTAAAAATCCGTGTTCCTGTTATGAGTGATGCTTTTGCAGCCAGATACAATGTACACTGCCACACTTCTGTGCTCTTGCTCCACCTGCAGACCGGGCGGCCTGTGGCAAACTTCAAGCAGCACAGCGCTCCAGTCACGTCCGTGGAGTGGAGCCCTGTGGACTCGAGTGTGTTCGCTGCCTCGGCGGCGGACGACGTCATCAGCCAGTGGGATCTGTCTGTGGAGTCATGTGATGTGGGTGCCAGGGTGGAGGGGGTGAAGGACTTGCCCCCTCAACTTCTGTTCCTGCACCAGGGTCAGTCAGAGATCAAGGAGCTCCACTGGCACCCACAGATACCTGGTGTGATGATCTCCACAGCTCTGTCAGGATTCAATGTGTTCAGGACAATATCTGTGTAGCGTGTGTGTGTGTGTGTGTGTGTGTGTGTGTTTGAAGAAGAGAAACACATGATTTTTGCATTTACAGGAGTTGTGTAATGCGCAGTAAATCCCAATATGTTTGATAATGTACATAACTCAGCTGTGATCTTTTGGACATTTATTGGCCAACATAGGCGCCATATGGTGTTACAATCTTCACTGTTGAACTTTAGTCTGTATTTTTTACAGATGTATGAACTATTTTAGGCATTTCCTATTGCATGCTTAAAATAAAATGTTTAAAACAATGGTTCTGTTTTCTTCAATTAATCTCCTTCTCCTCTATTTGTGTTTTTTATTTGTAATAAAGGAAAGCACTGAATCACTTTGTTTCAGAAAGAAAGTCATTTCCAAAGAAAAACAAGTCCCAATAATTGTTTTATTGTTTTCACTGTAATCCTTATTTAACCACAGGATAACACGTGTTTAAACCAGCATTTTCAACAGATGAGCACAATGGTCTCTCCCTTTTACAGCATCATGAAAAAAAAAATACTTTTTCAAAAGCCAGCGTTATACAAGCAAATAACATACAAAAATACACTGCTGGTCCCGATTTACAATTGACCTTTAAATCCCATGATTGTCATAGCGCTTTAGTATTAGTCCAGCCCCACAGCCCAAAGAAAAGCTTTGGTAACTTGAAAACATGCTAAATAACTGCAGTATGAAAACACATTGTGTAAAACAGATCAGATTTGGTCTCAACCAGAGAAACTCACACTTTCAGACTTGGAATGTGACAAATTCACAGTAATCATACACAGGATAACTTTATTTTCTGACACTGGGAACCATTTTGTAAAGCTTAAACATCAAAAGAGGACATGCAGCTTATAATAAACATGCAATATGAGAAATAACTATAAAGACATGGATAAGACACAGGGTACAATAATAGAAGCATACAGCTCCCTTTAAGGCACTATAACATAAAGCTCAGTAAACACAACACCGGTTGCTTTAAATGGCAAATATAAGACAATGCAAGCATCATTAATTTAGCCTGAATCAAACTTTCCACTGAGCATCAGTTTCATAGCAAAGCTTCCAGGAGAAAAATAAATCAAAGTGCTACAAATCTTTCACTGTAATAACCTAAATGACACATTGTTTCTGAGCAAAATAACAGTCTTTTGCAAATCTGTTACCCTCACAGATAAAACATTAAATGTATTTTCCAGTTGAGCAACATCGTCGAACTGTATCTCTCCCACTGAGTCTTGAAAAATCCAGTTTGCATTCTGTTAAAGCCTTCCATTTAAATGATACTGAGATAATGAGTTTAAGAAAATACAGTATACTTGATTTACTTGACAGCAAAGATCTGTTTTTTTTTTAGGGGAAACCGTATTTGATCCCCTATAGACCAATTTCATCATCAAACTCGTCTTCAAATGTGTAGCCCCGTCCTACTTCCTCCTCCTCCTCCTCCTCCTCCTCCTCCTCTGAATCAGTCTCTGAGTGGCAGCTGTCGACCCTCCTCCTGTCCAATGAGGTGACTCCTTCATACTCTGAGCTATGTGACGAGGCCGGACTAGGAGGCAAATCCACTTTGTGATTTGTGAGCTCGGTTTCACCTCCTCCTCCTATGCTCTCGCCCCTCTCACTCTCACCCCTCGTTGGACTACGACAAGCCAGCTGATCCTCATCCTGGAAGTCAAACCCTTGACCCTCTTCCTCCTCAGACGCTTGGCGAATGATCTCCTCTCGTTTGTCACTGAATCGCACTTTTGGTCGTAACCCCTTTGGCTTGATTCCATTCCCATCTGGTATCCTGCCGTCTCCCACCTGGTTTCCATCCAACCCAACCAAGTTCTTCCCGTTCAGCTCATTCTTTATGTTCACAGACATCTCCATGGCTCCTTTCCCTTGCTTTGCGCCCACCGAGGATGCGCCACTTTTGGTACTGAACACATCCTCCTCGTTAGAGTCAAGCCCCAAACCATCCATCACGCCCAGTACATCCCCCAGCATAGATGGGCCTAGATCCAGGTCCAGGTCCAGGGTGAACGAAGACACTGATTCAGAGTGCTGAAGCTCATTGTTCTGTGGGCTTCCTGGAGCATCCGTGTAAAGATCACTGTGGTTGACCGCCACCTGAGGGTCAGCATCCGGCACGATCCCTGGACTACCCGGTTCGGGGCTGGCCTGGCTCGGGCCAAGAGTGGACAGGAAGGAGGTGTCCCCAAAGGCATCACCTCCTCTCCCAATGTGCATGGTGTGGCGAAAGTCACCCAGCGGGGCTGAGATCATGGTAGGGTCCAGGCGAGGGGCCCGGGATGATTTGTGCAGTGGCATGACTGTAGACAAAAAAGAGGGTAAAATCTTATTTATATATGATAGCATGGAGTAAGTGACAGATGTGACACTGTGAGATAACGGTGTAAAACAAAAACATGTGCAGAAATACTGAAGCCCCAGTCCAGAATCCTGATAAGACAGAGCAGCGTCAACACTTCACATCATGTTGAGCAACATTGTAGGAAAACCAATGAGCATTTTGGCACTGGTGGCTGTGAAGGCCATGCTGAGACTTGTACTTGAAACACACTCATGCAACGCTAGCACATACTTTTCTCTCCCCTCAGGGGTGTGTGTATGTGGACAAAAACAAACTTTCTTCTCTACAAAAAAATAAATAAAAACCTTCAACAATCACACAAAAACAATTAAACTGTGCTACTTTTCATTTAGATTTCAACATGGAAAACTATTCCTGTTGAGACCAACAATGTAACATTTGAAGTTAATAATTAAAGCATCTTTACAGTTGGTAGGAGCCAATATAAGCCCCATAAATTGTATCATGTGTGACAGGCTAAGTCACTGTAATAAGTTACTAGATCTGCATGGTACACTTCAAATCAGAATAGAGAAATCTTTCTTTTTAGTGGTTTTTATGTGTGTGAGAGAGAGTTAGAGTCAGGGAGGGGAGGGGGCTTACAGGCCTAACCCCCAACACTCAGGGCTTTTCCATTCACAATCAAAAGTAAAATATACATTATATTAGTTAAATCTATACTTTATAACTTATCAGAAGAGCACGCGATGGTCACACTTACTGGCAGAGCAGTGAGAGGAGCGATCGGATCAATGTAAAACTAATCAATCGACCTGAGTGAGCGTCAGCAAAACATTCAACAAGTATGGAAAAACTTACTTTAAAGGGTATATTCTGGTGTTTGGTGGGCTCCCTCCTCAGTATCCAACTCTTTCATCTGGCTTTTTTTTTTTGCTTTCGCTTCCCTCTCGACTTTTCCCTCGCTCTTTTTCTCGCCGTCGTTTGTCTGTGTGAATTTTCTTTTTCTTTCCAAAGGGATGGGCATGGGGCGAGGAAGTGACGCGACAGTTATTGGGGAGAGCTGGATCAAAGAGGCTGTAGTGTCGACTCCAGCAGACTTTGTTAAATACAAACCAGACTAACAGAGTCGATTTATGTATAAAGTTAATGTTATAATGCTTTAAGCGTGAGCCATAGTTTGTTAACAGGATGGTGTCGATGACTGGGAGTGTGTTGAATAAAGTTTATGTGTGAATATCCAGTTAAAAAGTATCAAACTGTGACTGACATGATGCCAGCTTTAATTGTATGTTACTATGGAAAAATATGGCTGCGGTCAGGATTTATAAATACTGAGCTCATGATTAAAATCCTGTCACTGCTAATGAGTTATTTTATTAAATGTTTTAATGCAGTTAAGTGTTAAATTATACACTCGGTAAGTTTTATTTAAAAGGACTTTTTTTATTATTGTGAACAAATCACATGACAAAAACAACATTGGATCATTAGTTCCTCCTGAAAACAAATATATGGTTATATATTAAAACTATATTAAATAATAACAAGCTGGGTTCTGGTAGTTTTGGAGTAAATAGTGCATTAGTGTGGGACTTTTTTCAGTTAAAGATTAATAAACTTTTTGTGCAGTCAGCGATGTTTACAGCAGCAAGACAACATATTTGGTCATGAGATTTAACTTCAGCCCCCATTTATATGGCAATGAAGGAATGAATGGTGTGTTTTTAATAGTTTATGTAACAATGGAGGTCAGGAGGTATTTGGCTTTAGGCACATAGACAATGATTGATGGTAGGATCAATTGTTGGCTTTATTCTTTTTGTTGAATCTATAAAGTATAGATTATCTAAAAACATATAAACTCAACACAACTCAAACTAAATAATGTGTTTATTACTAACATATTACACAGTTCTTGCTCATAAAATTAAGTGTAACTGAACATGAATGTGAAAATGTTGTTTCAAAACTCTATACATGAGTTTAAAAATATTTATAAAATATTTAAAAATATAAATACGTTTTAATTGTTGAACACAATATCCCTCCACTAAAACCACCAAATTTCTGGAGCACAAAAACCCCTCATTTAACCCACGACCTCAGTGTCCTTAGTGGTCACCTCACTGGGGTAAACTCACATGTTAAAGACTCTTTTCAGGCTATAGTTATGCTTAATACAGCAGAAACATTTAATTTCACACTGAAAACATAATGAAGGGTTTGACTTTAAGGACCAGTGTGTGTTCAGTGGCATGTAGCAGTGAAGCTGCAGATAGCAACCATCTGAATACATAAATAAATGTTACACACTGGACTTTACAGTTGACTGTAATTATGATGGAATGCAGTCTTTGAGGTTAACCCTTGTGTATTGCACCACTTTACTGACAACACCACATTTTTAAAGGGTGTCAGTCAGTCTGGTGCATAATCATCTCACATTCATTCACTCTTACAACCATTAAATAAATTAAACAACAGGCGTGGAGCAGAGATGCTTTTTAGGAGTGTGTGTTACCCACCTTTCCTCTCATGTGTTAAGGAAACAGAAGCATTAACAGCAGGTATTCACACAGTGGTTCCTGGTAGCGAGTCATTGTTTGTGAGGTCTTGTCACAAATGCTCGACATATTTGTGTAATGATGTCACCGACAAGACAACAATGGGAACAAATTATTCATTCAGCCGGTAAGAAATCAGTGTGAGAAATTGGCTGGAAATACTATACAGTATTTTATCCATTTGAAACCACAAAAGTAAAACTGTTGTTATGTCAATTTAAAAGGAAAGTATTGATTTCTCTTTCACATTATGGTATTAAAACTACTTTGAACTGCAAGAAAACTATATGAAATACATTTGTTGTATTTGTGTTTTTATTCTGGTACCAGAGTGGAGTCTATCTTTCGAAAAGATACTGTGAGCTTCACAACAGTTGCAAATATCATTTGCACTCCAGAGAGACTTCCCAAAAGGCTTGAATGATTTGGGGGGATCATGTGTGGGAGTGAGTGTCTGACAGGAAATGACTCTCCTTTATGTAATACACTCTCACATGAGCTCACACAAACACACATCCTGCAGCTGTGTGTGCTTCGCAGGGAGGTGAATGAATGAGTGTGCGTAAGATATATTCATTTTGCAAAGTAAAAACATGGTTTTATTGATTGGATAAAATTATAACCTCCCAAATATGGTCATAGTAAAGTTTTTTTTTCTCAAATAGTGACATGTTGGCAGCACATGAACTAACAACATGAGCTGATGAGATTTATTGTGTGAATATAGATGTATATTATGGGTGATGGGAGTTTAATAAAGTTTTCTTTCACTACTAACTTCAGCAAAGTGAGGAACCGTTTAGAGACTACTACCCTCCGCTTTGTCTGTCAGGCATTACAACACGGCCCCAGTCTTTATCATTGACAGGCTTAGTGGGCGAATACGACTCTGACCTAAACCCAAAGCTCAACATTTGATTGGTGGAACAAGTAGAGGACAGAGCAGAAGGTGGGAGAAACAGGGGCGTAAGCTCTGCCTGACAGGACAAACTCCGGGCGACAAAAACAGACTAACCCACAACGTCACTTGACTTGGCTAATTTTAGCTATCTGCCATTTTGTGTCTCCACAGACGAAGTTGGTCGTCAACGAAGAAGGAAGCAATGGTCGCCTTATGTTTCTGATTCGCACCTTTACTCAACGTATAACCAAAGTTTGACTTGTTGTGATTGGCAGCGCTACATTGGCGGTCGGTCGACTGCTCTTCTTGAGACCAGCCGGTTGATTATCGTCTTGTTTACCTTTGTGCTGAAGCGGGAGAGCTAACGCTAACGACGCTAGCCCCGTTAGCTCAGCTAGCGTTAGCTTCGCGACGCTAACTGTAGTCTGTGGCAAAATGGCGGCCAACACGACACAAGCAACCCCTACAACCAACTGGTAGGTCACATTTTGTAGACACAGAAGCCCCACAGTGTGCAGTGACTGAGATGAATGCACTGTAACGCTACTATATATAACGTTATATATATTTAGATATATATATTGTGTATTGGTTAGCAGTTAGCTAACGGTTAACGGTCGCAGTCATAATGTCGTTATCGACGAAAGGACGGTTAGTGCAGTTAGTTAATAATCTCCTGTAACTTAGTGTAAGACACATACCATCCACACGATATCGTTAACACGGATATCTGCGGCGCTTTAATCGATATGTTTAACGGTTAGATGTGAGACTGTTAGCCGTTAAACTGCCGTGGACGGTTAAACGAACGTTATGTTTTTTTTTTTTATACGTTGGCCAACAGAAGAGAACCAACGGTCACTTAACCGTTAACATTGTAAAGCGTTAGATTGTCACAGTTGTTCCTCAATCTCAAGACTTTACACTGTGTGTGTCTGTGTGTTACTGTGTGTGTGTATGTGTGTTACTGTGTGTGTTACTGTGTGTTACTGTGTGTCTGTG